CTCCTCCGACTGCCGGGGCCCTCGGCCGTGACCCCGCAGCCCCGGCGATCGCTGCTTCCTTGCTAGGCTGGAAAGCGCACCTTAACGGCAAGCCGCGCCAGGTCCTCGTCTTCTCCTGCCGAGTACCGGGTTAGCGAGTTCCACTTTGACTTCCAGTTTATATCACTGTGGCAAGAAGTATTTCCTAAAGTTCAAGAATTAATTTTCTTCTGTGCGGTCAACTGAGAAACAATAACATAATGAACTTCAAAGAGGAGAAGAACGGTAACAGAAATAACCATCAGTCCATTTTAATAGCTCAAAAATAACTGAGTTGTTGTAGACATTAAGTAACTAAGGGAAAGTGCCTCAGTGTGGGTGTCAGGCTTTGAAGAGAAAAGCTGGTTAGTAACTAAAGGCTAGAAGTGTTGGTCTGAGTAACTACCTCACTGTTTTTCAGCTTTTTTTACTTTCAGATGAAAACTCAGAAAGGAGGAAATATTTACTGTTTGGGGGAAAAAAAAAAAAGCCAGCAAGAGAAAGAAACAAAAATTCCAGAAGCAAGCATTCCCAATTTCATGCAAACTTACGTATTTTTAAGCCACAGGAATGAGAATAATAGAGTCTTGCTCTGCTTTGAAAGCCTGTTCCACCCTCCCCATAGAAGGGCTATCACCCCTATATAATTCTAAATAGCTCAACAAATGTTAAAGAAACAATAGGTTACAGAAGCACCCAGCAAGTTAGATGAATGACTTTGATGTGGCAGGACTGTTATTTACAGCTGCAGATGCTGCTCACGATTTAGTCATCAGAAATGCAAACTAATCATAAATATATAGAAACTGATACTTGCGTACAGCTCTCTAACAATTTACCTACTTTGAATACTGGTTTTGTATCATGAAAGTATGTTTCCCTGATGCTCCCTACAGCAGTCGTCTAACCTACACCCTGGTAATTCCCCTCTAAAACTGGAATACAGCTTTAAAAGAGCTCCTCCAGAAAAGGCTGGATGCTTTTTGAAAATACAACACAGCATACTACATGTGGCAGGGAAGAAATTTTCATCTAGTTCTAAACAGCACTAGTTAGAACATCGAACACCATAAAATGACTTGCATAGTACTTAAAGATAATACAAAACCCCCTTGCATTCAGTTTCCTGCAAGGCAAATCACCATGCTTCAGGTACTAGCAGAAGTTGGGCATCTAGTCTTTAAAAAAACCCCAAAACGTTTCCTGCAAAGAAACAAGTTACATGCAAGCGGACTGAGGCTCGGCACACGCGTTTCCCAGGCTGGAGCAGTGCTGTGCAAATGCAGCTGTCCCGGTTCTGAACTCCAGCCCCAAACGCGTTGCCACGTTGCTTTCAAGGTCAAGCCGAAAGCCTCGCTCTGTCACCCGGCTGACATGCTGCGTCATACACGCAATTCCTGCCTCCAAGCCTGCCCGGCTCCCAGCTGCCGCCTCACCTGGCTGGGGAGATGCAGCACGCCCTGTGGCTGGCTCGGTTCTGTCTGCTGACTGGACAGCTGTCGTTCGCTTTCTCATCTACCAGTCATCCCTTTTCAAAGATTATATTTGTATGAGCATTGGGAAATTCTTATTCTTCTCTCGAATTTGGGTGAATTGAAAAGCATGTGCAACAGTTGTTAGGGTGGGGGATAAAAGAGCGTGACCCCATCACGCTGCCCTACTTAGGAAACCAGGCTTAAAAAAAAAAGGAATTTAAAAAAACCTAATCAGTCAACAAAGAAGGTATTACTCTTGGGGCTTCAGAAACGAATAAACCCCGCACAAGCCAGTTTTTCTTCCTTTTTGCAAGTATGCTTGGTAGCCTCACTGCATTATGCATTTCTGCTGGGCTAGCTGAAATTCAGGGGAATACTCGAGAGTAACTGTCTTTGTGCAGATACTGGAAATCTTGCAAAATGGCAACGCCAGGCTACCACCCACTAGCACGCACTTGGTTCCAAGAAGCTTAGACGTTTGTATTTCTGCCCCAGTCAAGATCATACCCAGAACCGTCATCTGCAGGCATACAGAGCCCTAAAACAACAAAAAAGCATCACACAAGCCCATGCTTTGTTCTGTTTCTATTTAGATGCTTGTTTGGACAGACTGAGAGCACAGGTCATTATGTAAACTGGTTAATGCATTTATTTTATATTATGTATAAACACTTAGCATTAACAAAATGCACTTTTTCTCAGCAACAACAAGCTAATGCCTTTTTGTATTCCTGCAGTCCATGAGTTGTTACTCCTACTTGCAAAGCAAAAAGCCTCCCTCAGCATACACTGAGAACACACACAGCTGGGACCTCCCATTTCACCAGGCCAAGCTGTCTCTGCTACAAAATCTTTACAATCCTTGACATCAGAGACAAAATACATCTCTTGTGGGCGAGCGACAAGTGAAACTGGTCCTTCAGTACTAAAACATTTTAAAGAACAGCAATAAAATAGTAGCCAATGAGTTAAAAAACCCTATCCTGAAAACACTCATTGCTCCAACATTGCTCCAACATTCCACGGTCAGCACAACAAAAACATACAGAGCACTTTCACATACAATGGCCGCAAGCTTTTAGTACAAAACTTGGTTGACCTTGCAACCGTACTTTGAACTGCTCAACTGATACTGTAATAAGACAGTTAACTAATTAAAAAGTGATGTTTAATCATGGGACCATATTTTATGGTTCACAGGATGTTAAATTGCAAAAAGTTTCATTAGAACGGATTAAGAATGTAAAAAAGGGAATAAACATTTATTGAAAAATATATGGCAAGTTATAAATTAGCTGTATTTAAAAACAACATTTTTCAGAGGATTATTCCAAATGGTACATTAAAGCAGCTGAATTTTACCAGGCAATAAGTGTTCCCTGAAAAAAGTGCTAGTGACTTAGAAAGACCTGAATCGGTAACCAAAATGTCTGCATAAATGGCAAATTCAAGTTTCTTAGTGCAAGCTTCAGAAAAAATGGCATCAGAAATGCAAACGTCAATGATTCCTGTAAACCTTCTCAAACATTAAAGTCTGGGGGTTTGGTTTTGCACACAACAGCACTGAAGTATAGATGCACTCAAGGGTTGAGGCCATTATTATCACAATATAGTTTGAACCAAAGTAATAGCTTGCTGCTGCCAAAATGGTGAAGTCTGGCTTCCTCTCCTCACAACCCTCTTCCCTCCCAGCTTCAGACCGCTTGCTTTAGCTGCTCTCCTTGATGCAGTGCTGGCACTCACTTGACTGCACAGCACACCGACAGGCCTGACATTTGAGGAATCTCCATTCTGGCTCTGCCAGAGACTGTCTTTGTTCCTAGCCTGCTGATGTGCTCAGAGGAAAACCTGGGGAAACTCGATGACGTGGTTAATCTAGCTCCAGCTGTCTGCTGGCACTGTCCAAATAGTGTCCAAATGGAAAACTCCGAGTTCTTGCATGCATAGAATTACTGGGTTAGCTTAAGGTTGAATTGTTTTAAGATAATGAAGGGCTTTTAGTTTGTTAAAGGTGAAATGGAGAAAAAAGGAGGTTGGGCTAGAGGATCTCCAGAGGTGCCTTCCCACCTCTGCAACTCCCCAGTTTACCCTGGCAGCTTCTTCCCATTGGATGGCTGCCAGCGAGCGGGGGAGAGGATGGATAGATAGGCTCCTGCTATGCCATAATGAGCCACAGGAAAAGGAAGTAGGAAAAGCTGCGCTTTGTTTAAATAAACTTGTGCTTTTAAGGAAACCATTAGAATTATCACATTCCTACTTATTAGCAAACTTAGACCTCCCTTTCTGAAAAAATTTAAGACGTAATCAAGCTAAAATTATTTCCAAGGTCATATTTCCTTTTATTCCATCTTACTTTCATACCCAGATGCAAAAATTGATTCCTCTATCAGTAAATTCATAGCTGAGCAGTTTGTGGCAGCACTGAAAACAATCTAAAAGAGGAAGACCTTATTTCAGTTTACTCCACTATTTCACAGCACGCATCAGCTAGACCTCAGGACTGTCCTGACGAACATTATGCAGATGGACAACGCCCCCATGCCAGGAAAATGTCATAGACTCTAGAGCAGACTCTGCACCATGCTATTTTCCAATTTTTACTGAACCCAGGTTGATAAAGCCTACAAGAATCTCCTGTCACAAGCAGTCCAAGATAGGTGTATGTTCGGGAGCTCTAGTGTACAGTATGATTGAGGGCCTGAAGTGAAATACAATGCTGAGAGCTGAAATAACGTATATTTGATTTTCTGCAATGAGTTCCCTTCTGTTCAGAGG